TCTTGACAAAAACGAAAACAGATTCTCCCACATTCGCTTGCTTTCCAGTTATTGCTGACTTGAACTAAACTTGCTAAGGGTGCATCACTGTTACTCAGGCCACTGTAAGTAGAGGTTAACTTACCTTAACAACAAAAATGTAAAAGGAAGGAGTGGGTAGTGAGGTCTTCATCAGTTCAGAACCTGCCCAAGGTCAGCTGTTGGGATTTTGTGGTGCAATGAATGGAGGGAACAAACTAAGTCACCAGCACCTGAGTGCCCATGCCAGGTACTATGCCAAACACTTTCCATATACCCTCTAATGTGATTCTATCTTACTAGGCAGCTACCAAATCAACAGTTTATAAATGAGAAAATAAATCCAGAGAGGTTATGTGATCACCCAAGTTTGCACAGCAAACTGGAGAGATAGGACTCATATTAAGGAAGTCAGATTTCAGACTTGCAGGTCCATTCATTTCATCAAACCATTGAGGCACAGTATTATTGGTTTAGGAGTGGCAAAAGGACAGACCAGATGGCCTTCAAATTCAATGCCAACATTCTACAAATCTACTTGGCAGTAAGAACTAAAGACTGACACATCCAGAGAGGAGGGACATAGAAGGAGAGAAAACAAAGCGAAGGGAGCTCAATGGACTATTGTGGTGGACTATGGGTGACTTGGTGGCAGGTGCACTATGGTGGAAATACAGGGCAGTGGTAGGCAGGGGAATCCTATAATTCAAGAATATCAAATGCTACTTCAATAAAAAAAAATTATGTGTATTTTTTTTTACATCATTGTTGATTTTTAAACAATCTGCTTCCTCCTACCCCTTCAGGTGTAGTCCCTGTAGTTTCTTTCACCAATGCACCCGTGCACCATCACCTCAGTCCCCTGTGCTCCTCCCTCCCTCCCTCTGATCCCTCTCCTGCCTCCTCCCCTATAGGATGTCTCTGATTTACAGTAAAAAAGTGTATAAAATGTTTTCTGGGCTAAAGAAACAGCTAGTTTAATGGACCTGATACTAGACAAAAGAACTAGGAACAGGGGGAACACCTAACAGTGGGGCCAGAGAGGCATGGGGGGAGGGTGGAGGGCAGATCACACAGGGCATGGTGGATCCCCAGAGACTGCAGTGGGCCGAAGAATACCACCACTCCCCACGCTTCCGAAAGACATCCACAGACTAACCCTTGAAATCTGTGATTGTATTTGCAGATGTGATTAAGGATGTTCAGATGCGAGAGTGTCCTGGATAATTCAGGTGAGGACAATGTGAAAAAAAATAAAAAGGACTAAAGATGGCCAGGAGGCACAATGCGCGAATTTCAGTCTATTGAGATATATAAGTGGTCACTGTTGCGGCTGGCAGTTGCTAAGAGAAGCCAAGCTCAGGAGGCTAATTTGTATGTAAGATCTTACTGATAAACTGAGTAAACAGATGAGCTAGGTCCTCCCTGGTGGCACAGCGGTTGAGCGCCGCGCAGTGAAGCTGTCCGCAGCCTCTGCAGCGCAGGTTCGATCCCAGCTGGCCAGCAAGAATCCCACATGGCGCAGCAGACTCCTCCTATCTCACCCGCTGGCCCCCTCAGTAGTGTATTTTGTCAGTCTGCCTGTTCTGCTCCCCGCTCTGTCACTGGTGAGTCCTCTCACCCTCCAGCGCATCTGGCCTGTACCCCGGTTCTTGTATAAATAAATAAAAATCTTTAAAAAAGAAAAAAAAAAAGATGAGCCATCCTCTCTGTCTGCTCTTATCTCAACCGCACATCCGTACTGGGAATGGAGGCTCATGGCTCCTCATGGCTATCGAGCAATGGTAATGCTGTTTTACAAATAACTTTATTCAGCAAAATGAAAGCATGGATTCCACTCCCACGATTTCTCTAAATTTTTATTATTTTTTTTTTTTTTACAGCTCGATCCTCTTGTGAAAAGGAAAGAATTTGAAGATGAACAAGTCAATTACATGTTTTCTTTTTAAACAGCAATTAATCTTCATTACAGAGAAGAACAAACAAAAGATCTGTGGCACATTATCTTTGGAGAGATCTTTTGCAAATTTTTCCTCTAAAAAAAAGAAAACAAATGAATTCTCACAGATCAGGTTTGTCTCTTTCAAAGGACTATACAAGGCAGCTAAATTTTATTCACAAAAGCCCCAGGTTCAGTTCCATTGCTGAAGTAGATAAAATACACGGAGTCCCCCTTGCTAGGTCTGTGTTGCACATCTTCCCATTGAGAGCTCACTGCTTCCCTATCCTATGCACAAAATCACTGTGTGGACGAGATAGGTGGCACCTTATTCCACAGTAAAAGAAAATTCGTATTATTTTATGATAGACCAGTGATTTTCATTTATCAACTGGACAATTTATTCCTTTTTAAAGCAATTTTAATAATACCAAGATTTGACTTTCCTCTAAAGTTATAAGAAAGCAAAAAATATATAATATAATATAATATATAATGGTAATAAATAAAAAAAGGCAACCCTGCTCAGGTATCATCCAAAATATGATCACATTCAGAAAAAAAACAAAAAAACCTAAAGATTTGAGACACATGCCTATACACACGCGCACACACGTCACACAGACAGACACACACAACATGAACAGTGTATACTTGATATCTGAGGGGGCATGTGCAGTAATTTTAACAATACATGTTGATGGCCTGAAAAAAAGGCGAAGGTAATACTGCCTGTGTTAAGCAAGCATCGCTTAAACATCTACTTTGAAGCAAAAAGCAAGTTCTCTTCCTTCGGTCAGCCACTGCCTGTGTGAGGCGAGCGGCCAGCCTGGCTGCCAGTGGTCTTAGTCCCTTGTCCTTCAGGTCAATGTGGTTCATCTGAGGCTCCCAGGGAGCTGTTGGTGCCCTTCCTGCCCACTTGGGTAGAGAAAAACAGCCACCTCTACCCACCGCAGTCCCTGCTGCTCTCTGACATGGATATGTACATAGTGAGATTCACCCCCAGACACGAGGAAATTTACAGCTATCTCAAGAAAGAAGCAGATGGTACTTGTCAAGTTATCCCAAGTAAGAACTAAAGAACACGGCTGGTGGCCACAATTCACTCTCAGTCACTGAGAAATCAACAAAATGGACTGCATGTTTGAGGTTTACAGAGTGGAAACACCTCTTGTACTGCTGGAGGGAAAACCCCCAACTCCATGTTGGAGATTCTGCCACGCCACCTCCCACAAACAAAATGACAAAAGGTAAAGGCACAGGAAATATCTTACATTGGCTAATTCTAACAGGACCAAATAAAACAGAAGAGGCAGCCACTGGAGAAAGGGGAAAAGGAGTAAACTCCACCCTGGTCCTGACACCCGCCCCAGCCACAACACAGAACTCATTCATCTCAGGAGCAACTCTCCATGGTTATGTTTCTGAAAGAAGCCCAAACAGTCTTGCAAATGTAAATACTGCTAATCAGTGGTAAAGAGTGTAATAGGTGAAGTGGTAGAATTTTTCAAAGATTTTGTGTAGTGTCTGGAAAAATAAATTCTTTAGAAAAAAGCACAATCTGCGGTGGGAGGTAGGGAATCAAGCCTTATTTAATTCATTTACCTTCAAATGTACAAATACACCTCAAACTTCATGAAGCAGAAAAGCCAAAGGTGGCAAGACCAACAAAACATCTCTTAAAGCCATGGCAAAATAAATATAACACTATCTTCAAATTAGCATTATTTCATAATGCAGTTTGGTCAACAAAGGCACAGTAAATCTATCCAATTCAACCAGCCTCTTAATTCTGCAAACACACAAACTGCTTGCAAACCAGAGAGAGTTCTGTTCATTTTGGAGGGCACAATGGTTTCTCTTTGCTTCTAAAAGTTATTGAACAGGAATCATAATAAAATAGTAAGCCGCTCCTGATCCTACTAACATTAACATTTAAGGTACCAATTAAGGCAAGTTTTTGGCCAAAAACGGACGGTTTGTTAGCTTCTACATAGCCTAAGATCTGGAATTAGAGGATTGAACAGGGAGATAAGTGTGGTCCAATCTGTCAGGAAAATAAACATTTTGGTCAAAACAGATCTATAAAATAAAGGTCCTTTTGTCCAAAGAAATCAGATGCCTCTCCCACTCAGTATTTGGTTAAATCATAACATGAGATAAGCTGTTCTCCTGCGGTAACTCGTCCTGGCAACATGCTCGCTGGACCCCCCAACTCCTCACCGCGCCAGCATGTGGCCTGCATCTCACATCTTAACCCAGTGTAATCTGGTAAATTTTATTAAGTGTTTTTCAATGCTCAGCAGAAACCTCAGTCTGGCTAAAATCTCAAGTTCAGTGATTCACATTTTAATTATCTCCAGAAAGGACAGAAACAACCAATATTTTTAAGAGACAGCATTCTTCCATTTCCTAGTAAAGACATTCATACAAACACACAAAACTGTCGTGTGAGAGGCAAGATTCTACACTCAATTTTCACTCCTTACGATATTTTGGTATTTGTCTCACTGGAAACATGTACTGTTACTGCTATTAGAAGAATTTCACATATTCAAAGACTTAATTTCATACTCTAGTCCTTTCAATGATCTCAGTATACATTTTGCCTTTGAGAATTTAAGTATGAAGAGAAAAGTGCAAATGATTGGAAGTATCCTTAGATTTCTATACACAACTGTAACAGCAAAATGGCCTTGTGAATATTAAGTATTCATCTGCCACTACCTTTCATAGTCTTTTTAAAAAGTAGCCATTAGAAATTTCCTTTTCAGTACAATGCATGTTGAAGTAAGAAGGTGAAATATTCTATGATCAAAACAGTATGAACTGATCTCTGCAAGTCCATTAGTTCTTCAAGGGACAAATAAAATTTTGCTAGAGAGGACAGGAAAAAAGAAAACACACACAGAGTAAGGCCACTGCAGTAAGTTTAGAATTGGCTGAGAAACTGCCTTGGAAATGTCTTCAGTGAAGGGAACACCGGACACGCTGACGGAACATGCACTGCACACTCTTCCCCCAACCCCCACCCCCACCTCTCTCCACCCTGGCCCCCCACCCCCAATCTGCATAGATCAGAGCTCATCCTAAAGATGAGTGGCTCATCTTGGGGAGTTGTGGGGTAAAGGAGAGGCAATGACTAAGAGGGAAACAAGATGTTAAATAGTCACAAAAGCCTCACCCTTGTCTGTCCTCTCCCACGTATGAGAGGGACACGCAGTGCCACCCACCAGGCTACTGTGTCCTCTGAGCAACTGCTAGTGTAAAAAGGGTCATGACTTCGCTTTCAAACATCAATAAATGAAAACAGTTCATCAAGAGCATACATCGAGTTCTTACTCACATATTACTACTGTAGTAATTCTCTCTGCTTTACCCTAAACGTGAGGAACAGGCCTGTGACCTAGCTACGGATAGGTAACAAAAGAACAGGTTGTAAGACACTGAAAGAACAGCTTCATAAAAAACAATTTGTAGTGAGGAAAATAAGCATCATCCTCATCTTCCACACATCCTTTTCCAGATTTACCACATCACAAGGGAGTTCTCACATTCATCATATGGATCTTAAAATGGCATTATAAATAAAGATGGTAATACCTTCTTTGCTAATAAATAAATATGAAAAAGTCACACATGCTTGGGAAGAAACAACATATAGAAGGAAAAAAAAAGAGAAGGCGGGTAGGAAAATAAACCAACTGTAGAGGTAACACTCATGCTTCGATTTCAATACATATGCAAGTTCTATTTTTTTTCTAAGAGGGATAAAAAAGAATTGGCATTTAAAGAACACTGCACTCAAAATAATGCTTCAATAACAACCTTCAAAATTTCAATGAAAAGGAAAATCTGTGCTTTATGGATATATGGGAATTCTGATTGGGTTCTTCATTTTGGGTCACTCAAAATGAGCTTGGTTTAACATATCTAATATGGCAATAACAACACAGGGGAAAGGCCACAGTTCCTCTTCAATCTAATTAAATCTAGTTGATTGAGAATACTTGGGAGTGAAGGCAAGTGGTGACTTTTTTTTTTTTAAATCTAATTAAACACCCCAAATCTCCACATCCTCTCAGGGAGTTAATTTCCCCTAGACAATCAAGGACTCTGAAAGTCTAGTTTCACTATAAATATAAAATAATTTGTAGCAGAAAAATATAGCCTCTCTAAGAAGTAGATTTCATTTTTGTTGTTGTTGTTCGCTGACAAAACTCTGAATTGGTAAGACACAGGAGTTACCCCATAACCGCAGACCACAGGTCAGCACCTCAAATTCCAGCTCTACTTAAACAAAAACTAAAAAGCACGTTAGCCATCTGGTCAGGTACAAACGTTGGTTCCCTTCTTCCCCAGGTAGGAAATTCAGAATATAGTCAGTGGTGACTGCCTTTCGTGGAAGCTGGGGTGGTAGTGGCGGTGCCACAGCCTCCCTCACACCTGGAGACCCGGCGCTGGCTCCTGTGTGGAGGCTCCTCCCTCTGCGTCCCGCGGGGGCTGACTCACAGCACAGTAGGAGAAGCCCAGCCTGGGACAGTGCTCAGTGCTCCAGGCCATGGGAAGTCACCTTTCATTTCATAAATTATGACAATACTTGGTATTATCAAAGCCACTGTTCGCTGGCAGAGTGTGGGTACAGTGGAGTCCTTCAGAATTTTATAGATGACCGTTACCATTTATTAAACAAGTACTTCCCCCAAAATGTAAAATTAAGGAAAAAAAAAAATCATTCACAAAACCCTACACCAAAATTCATTGTTAAAAATTGTTTTCCTTCTGGGAATGTGGCTACTGAGATGAAGTGGATTTGCTTTTAAGTTGAATTTGCTTCGCATTTCATCTGTGACTTGCATCCTGCTGGTTAAAAAACTACGGAAATGTTTCTAGACCATTCATACATCCACTTAGGCTACATTGCACTTCTGTCCTTTTGTTAGGAAAGGCAAGAGCATCTGTGAGGCCAGTCTCCCCCTTTCGCTTCTGCACAAACGTCACGTCCAACCAATGATCACGTAGCTCTTGAGAGTTTACGTGGACAAGTGTCCTGGATATCTCAACTTCTTATATTCTTGAGCATGGTGTCCTGATGAGACAATGTGCAGAAAATCTCCCAAGGCATCAAATCCACTTGGGCCTCTGTTAAGGTGTTTTGGTTACTTGTGTTTTAGCCGCTGAAAACCCTGTCTTGTATAGTGCACCAGATCCACCAAACTGCTGTTGAGGGCCAAGGCACACACACTTGTGCTGAGTTGAGCAAAAAATTCTGCAAATAAGCCAAAAAACAAAACCAAGTAAACACACTTGCACACACAAACATAAAAAGGAAACAAATAGGCAAGTTTCTAGAAACTATCTTCCTATAACACTCTGTGCTTCATCACAGCAAAAAAAATCATAATCTATTATAAGAATTTGCTGATTGTCCACATCCCTCCACTATACTAGAATGGAAGAAATGGATTTGTTTTATCTCATTTTGGGGTTTTAAACTCGAATCCATAATGCCAAGCACAGTGGATGGCACTAGGAAATACCCAATTTAAACTTCTGGATCAACAAATGCATGAATGCAACATATTAAAAGCACCATTAGTTTGCTAAGGAAGAAAATTCTAAGAGACTGAGGAAACCTAGTGCCTACAGCTAAGCTGGTTGTCTCTTCCCTACAACCAGGAAAAAAATAGGTAATGAAATTAATCTGGTATTTACATACAAGCACTTACTTATAAGTGCCTGTGGAATGGACACCAAGTAGTTCCTATAATAGCATGGCACAGTTCCATCACTTAAACCTTGGCTTCTTCAAGCACCTTCTTAAACAAGTGTAAAGAATGTTTACCATGCCCCATTTCTTGTATTGATACTACCAATCTTAACATAGTCTGAAAATAAACTCAGTATTTAGGTTATGTTACTGCACATCTCAAATTGGAATGCCTCAGGGCAGCCAGTAACTTTCCTTCTTCATTTGCCTTGCTCCTTTGCTAGGATTTCAGTTCAAAGTCATGCCAGAACACTTTTGAGGGACAGGGCTTGAAGTACTTCTAATTTAATTTTGCTAAGATCTTGCCCAGAAATCCAGCCCCAGGTCACAGAACTAAATGATTGCTAATAGGTTGTGAAGAAGAAAGGAGAAAACGTGACAAGAATAAATAGTAAAATACACATTTTTTTATCTCCAGAAAAATGAACATAAAATACAAACCAAGAGCATTGGTCCCTTCCAACTCCCACACCCCAGTAGCTGCCACCACTGAGTCATTTACCTTTATTCTTCCTTGTAAGGGCTTCAGCCTGTTCCCAAAGCTCAAAGGCAGTAAGGACATGGGAAGTAATGTTGACATAGGAAGACGTCATGTTCTGGATCGTGACGGGGGTACTGATGGTGGGAGGCATCCCACTGCTCCCCACACTGCCAGCGCTTGACTGGGACCCTATGGACCCAGCAGGAGACGGCATTGGTGAGAGAGGGGAGGGTGCGCCTGTGCTTCTGAGGACAGAAGGAAAGAGAAAACTGGTTAATCACCTAAACCACCAGATTATAGATTTCCTATTTCTGGAACTATAGCCCCAGTCACTGTTTCAGTGAGTACCAGCCAAAGTGATAAGCACTTCTTATCTAGTCACCCCTATATAAGGTCAAAGAGACACCCTTTGCCTTCATTACTTTGGCAATATAGTTCATAAAGCACAGAGAAACAGGGCCACCAAATGAAAGTAACTGCATGGAGGCAAACTGGCATAGAATCAGGTGGGCGAATCTGTTCTCCAAATATGCTTTTCCATGCCATTTACCTAGGTTGCTCCCTTTGCCTGGAATCCCTTCCTCTCCCTACTCCCAGTTCCAACTTTTCCTAGTAATAGTAAGATAATACTTCTCCTGTGAAGACAGTGCTAATCTCATATCTACACCACCCACTCGGTAAACATTAACTGAGAACCTACTCTGTACTTGATACTTTTCTAGACTGGAGACATAGCACAGCTTTCTCTCTGCCAGAGGCAGAGATCACTTCTTTTTAATCTTTTTTTTTTTTTTTTTTTATTTTTATTTTAAAGAGGCATGTATTTTTATTTATTTGTTTGTTTGTTTTGTTTATACATGCACTGGGTACAGTCAGAAGCGCGGGAGGGTGAGAGAATTCACCAGAGCCAGAGCAGGGAGCAGAGCAGGCAGAAGGACCGAAGTACACTGCTGAGGGGAGCAGCGGGCGGCAGGAGAGGTCTGCGCGCCATGTGGGACCCTCCTCTGGTGGCCGGGGAGCAGCTGGGGATCGAACCGGCGCCGCAGAGGCCGCGGGCAGCTTCGCAACCCAGCGCACAACCGCTGCGCCACCGGGGAGGCCCTCTTTTTAATCTTTTTATTTCCAGTACTTAGCACTGCAGGTGCAAACACTAGGCTCTTGACAAATATTCACTGAATCAATGACTGAAGAAATACAGGACAGTCTATGAGGAGATAGGACAAGGAGTACTGTGCATCAGAGGATTCTTAAACTTCTCTCCTATATACCTGGACATACAGGTTAACAAGTGCCTTGAAAATGGATCAAAAGAAAAACACAAATGCAATATTTTTAGATATAAAAATATTTTTAGATATAAAAAAATTTTTAGATATAAAAAGCAAAAGGATATAAAATGAAAGATACACAGAAGTGGGCTCATGATATGGTAACATCAACCCTTGGACTAAATATGCCCTAAGTGGTCCCAGCAGAATGTACATTTTGTTTTTTTTTTTCTTTTATTTATTTTTATTAAGCTTTTTTTATTTTCTTACATTGTTGTTTACTTTTGTACAATATTCTATTTCTCCTCTGATGTGGAGTCCCCATAAGCCTCCCACCGCCACAGTACCCGTGAATCTTCACCACAGTCCCTTGTCAAACAGTAATCTTTTAGATCAACTAAGAATAAGAACAATTAATAGTTTTATTTTACAGAATGTACATTTTGAAGGACTAGAGTGAAAACTCTGTGAAGGCAGGGGTTTGGGCTTGTTTATCGCTGTGTCTCCAGTACCAAAACACAGTCTGGTACAAAGTGAGGCAAGTGGGGAAGGAGTTATCTAAGATAATGTGACTAACAATCTGCTAACTTAGAATAATACCTTAGAGGTGGGAGTTATGAGAATTTTCAGAAGTAGGAAGTTACTTTTCTAGGACTTTTTTATGAAAAGTCATCTGGGAATCCCTTCTTTTGAATGTACTGAAAATGGGGCCATCTTCTAGGTGATAGTCTTAAAATAGCAAAACCTATCAGAATTGGGATATTTTCAAGGAGCATAGCCAAGTTCTAAAGAAATGCTATCTTCATCTTCAAAACACTTAGACAAGGGTTCTGTTTTTCCACTATCTTATGGCATAGATGAACAATTTCAGTTCACAAAAGTGGGGAATACAATTCAGCTAGAGATAGTTGACTTCATTCTTAGTATCACTTATGAATTCTGGAACAGGTGGAGACATATGGTTATAGAAAGTTCTTTTTCTTTTATGTTCCTTATTTATATTTATCGATAAAGATGTATTTCCAAATTTGTACAAATAGGATGCATAGTATTTTTATCATGAATTAAACAATCTTTCAAGTACAGTCTATTAATGTAAGTCTGCATTGTATTCTACCATGTAATCATACCAGAGTTTATTTAATCATTTTATTCCCAACATTTGGGTTGTTTCTAAACCCATGTTGTAAGAAAGTTACAACTAATGAACTTCCTTATAAATAAATCTTAGACCACATCTTGGGATAGTTATAGAAAGTTTTAGTTAATTGAGAAAACATTAAGACAACATGTCAGGGGCCTCCCCAGTGGCGCAGCGGTTGAGCGCTGGGTTGCGAAGCTGCCCACAGCCTCTGCGGCGCCGGTTCGATCCCCGGCTGCTCCCCGGCCACCGGAGGAGGGTCCCACATGGCGCGCAGACCTCTCCTGCCGCCCGCTGCTCCCCTCAGCAGTGTCCTTCGGTCCTTCTGCCTGCTCTGCTCCCCGCTCTGGCTCTGGTGAATTCTCTCACCCTCCCGCGCTTCTGACTGTACCCAGTGCATGTATAAACAAAAACAAAGAAAGAAAGAAAGTGGGGGGCGGGAGGGGAAGGATTGGGGTCAGAATGGGGCGTTTGCAATTGTATGGGGGAATATAAAAATAAAATTTAATATTTAAAAAAAAAAAAAAAAAAAGAATGCAAGGAGTTGTGTTATAGTCCCCATTCATTCATGCATTTTGCTGCTTTAGTATATAGGTAAATATTGCAACTCTATCACCTTGTAAAAACAGGGAATACAATACATGTTGCTTTCTTTATTATGTGGTGACTGTGGATATCAGTTGTGATCATGTATGATGATGTTTTCCATTTAATAAAGTCCTATAAGCTTTTTGTATTTCTGTGGCAGTAAAAAAAAAAAGAAAGAAAGAAAGAAAGAAAACATGCCTCTATAAAAAAAAAAAAAAAAAAGACAACATGTCAGATAAAAGCAGAAAGGACTGTAGCTTTACCACTAATTGTTTTGTGTTGTTAGGCAAAGCTAAAGACCCTCAAAGCTCTAAAATTGTTGACCCCTAACTCCTTAAATCTTTTTACATTATCCAATCAACAAACACATTAGTATGTAACTACTCTTGGAAAAGGTAGAAATATACTAAGAATTTAAAAAGCAAATGAGCACACAAGTGCATGTAATTCTTGAAAAGCTAAGTCATGTATAAATACAAAAGCTGCAAAAAGCAGAAGATAAATAAATCTCTTGATTTTGGAAATCACTTAAATTAGACTTATCATTACCTTGCAATGCATGGAGAAGGTGCCTGGGCAACTTTGGAAGAACTCTGGAAGTGTTCGTTGAGAGTACGAGAATACTTTATTGCTATATCTTTTTTACAACGAAACATTGCCATGTACAGAAGGGACTGGCAACGCATGCTGTGAACATAAACAGAAGTTAAAGTGACATAGTGCCCAGTAGACTGATGTCACCACCACAGAAAGACAGCCATCTAAGAGTTTACATGCAGTCTAATGAACACATGAGGCTTCCTCATCTCCATGAGTGGCATGGGGGTGAAGTCTCAGCATTATCACTGCGGATGGCCTAAGTTCAATCCCCAACCAGGGAGCTCACCACATATGGCACGGCAGACCTCTCCTGTCTTGCCCGCCGCTCCCCTCAGCAGTGTATTTCAGTAGATCCACCCATTTTGCTCCCCACTCTGTCTCTGATGACTCCTCTCATCCCTCCTCCCACCACACTTCTGGCCTACACCCAGATTTTCTATGCATAAATAAATAAATCTTAAAAAAAAAAAAAAATCTCACTGTTCTGTTCATACTACCATCAGAAGTAAATATTAGCAGAAAAACACAAAAATACATGAACATAAATTAAGTCACAGGCCCCACGCAGCTACTGAGTCATCAGTAAATGGCAGCTGATGCCATGTCACAAAAATTAACAATTGGCGGGATTAAACCCTTGACCACACATCCTACTAATTTGCCTTTCATTATAATTCTCATGTTAAGAAAAACAAGTATTTTTATGACATCAAAAGATGTGAAAGCAAATATAATAGAATTGAGACAAAGAAAAAAGTACACACCATAAAACAGCAAATATCTTCTCTTGTGTTGGTGCTGTTGCATCTGAGAAGGATTTCAATGACATTATGAATCTAGAGGAAAATATGAACATACTTGGTTAAGCAAAAACACATAGAAATCCACAGACACAACAAAGACTTCTTATTTTGCTTGGTTTTATGCTGATTTTTCCTAAAGATGGGAAGACATGAGAGCCAATGATGGGGTGAAAAATGAGGTTTAAGGGCTATAGTTCAAGCCTTTCACAAAACTAAGATAGGACATGTTTCTTCTCTGGCCTGTCTATTGCTTGAAACCAAGTAGACTTGTGTCCTTACCAGTCCCCTGCTGAAAAGCAGATAATAAAGAAGGGAGCCTGCACTGAGGTGGAGGGCATCTGATGAGGCAGCCAACCTCTCCCTGAAAGGCTTGCATTTCACAGTGCACTTGGCAAAGTGATATGGTTGGACCCAGTTACTCCTGTTTCAGCCCTTCATCAGGAATACACTTCTAGTTCAGAACAAAAACAAAGTTCCTGTATCAGTAACTCTTTTAAGGCTCACTATTATTAAGCTGTCTTCATAGAAGATTCCAAAGGATCACAGCAATAAAGGTGAGGAAAGAGAAGTACTTAAGAGGATGGCAGAATGACTTGGCACTTACTTAATGAGGTCTACAGTTTCAGAGTACACCGAGTAAGCGGACTTGGATGCTGGGCTTTCTGACTCCATGGCAATCCCACTCTCAATAAAGGACAAGGCAGCCTCCAAGTACTTAAAAGCCTTCCCAACCTTGTCTGTCTGCAGGACAAGAACACAGTCATTGTTAGGTCAAAGATAGATGTTTATTTAGTGTCTCACTCACATTCTTTACTGTAACTTCTCTCCACTGTCTTAGTTTAATTATGATGAAAAGTGAGAACAAATGAACTCAAAATGGTAACCAAGGTCTGTTGGCTCTGAGGTACTGAAAATTTTTTTAGCAAAAACTCAGAATAAAAGGAAAAATAATCAGTAGGAAAAAGAAATCAAGCTTGTATTGATGTTTCTCAAAACTATACTAAAGTATACATTCCAACTGAGGTGATAACTACACAGCATCCTGTAACTAGTCCATAATTACTCATTATGTACGTTTCCTGAGAAACAATTATTCTACACAGTCTGAATAATGTTGTCATATGCTTCTTTGCATGTCTTGTTTATCTCAAGGAGAAAACATTATGGTATGTGAACAGCACAGGTATTATGTCTAAGGTAATCACTTTTTTGTACTGAGGAGTCCAAAAGATTATTTAACCTCCTGTGGAAGTTTCAGCTAAGTGTACAAGGCTATCCTGTAAGCTAACAGGGATTACAGAGTCCCTGAAAGGGAACAGAGAAATATGAAATCACCCTATGCCTGAATTACATATTTTGTCACTTATGCGCTTCTCACTTGGTGGAACACAACCAACTCAACTAGTGAGACTGTGATGAGCAAGGCTACTTCCTCTACACGTGGCATATGAATCACATATTAGTGCAGCTGATTGACATGATGTTTTGAAAATTTGCTTATAGCTAGTGCTTTTAATTTGATATATTCAAGAACAAACTGTGGAAATAGCAAAGATACAACAGGACTGTAAGGAGATGTTAGCAAATAAAGTTGGCATAGGGCTGCTAATTTAAAGAATTATTTTAAAGTATTTTTTTTCTGGAGAACCCAGGCTTAGAAAATTATTGACAAAAAAGAATAAAAGTCAGATTAACATGGCCCAATTAATCAGCAGTTATAGAGACCTTACTGGTTTGCTTCACTGATGTAAACTTAACTCTTTAAATTTACTTACTCATCATCTTTCATTGAATTTCCATTAATATTGGCCTCAGTGTAGAAACAAAAGCAACTACAATACAATACCTGTCAATATTTACCTCCTTATGTATTTTGTGAGACAACACATGAAATATTCCTGTGATAACTCTCTGTGTCTCCTGAGATGGTGTTACAATTGTGGACTTGCAATTTCCCCACTCAACAAAAATGAGTAAAATGAGAGATGAAATATACTCCTTTATATTCACTTGTGGATTAACTACTTGGAATATCAAATGGACATCTTTGAGACACTGTGCAACTAAGGATATTATGAATGGTCTGGGCATTCAGTTACTGTCCAACTTGGAATATTTTGAGGGTGAAATAAGTTATTACTATTTATTAAAATGGGCTACAACAGGCTTAAACAGAGCACTAGGAATATCCTGGGCACACTGGGACAAACAGTAAAGTTAGGTAGAGAGGAGTAAGATACACATATGTATAGATTAAAAGCAAAGCAAAAAATTCCCTGAGTTATTGTTTAAATAATGAGAGATTCCAGTGCTGAAAGTGTCCAGTATCATGATAAGTTCTAGATAATTGGCTGACAAAATAATGAATAGTTTGCTCTTATTCAAAACCCAAAGAGTCACACAGTTTTAGCAATAACTTTGCAAAGCTGGAAGAAAGAAATTAAAAAGACAATTTTTGACCAAGTCCAAGTGTTGTAATCTGACTCAGGTCATGCTGGTACAGAACAGCTTGAGTTAGGTCTACAGAGACTTGTCTTTCACCCCCTTAAATGCATCCTGCCTAGTATAATTCAACAAATATTTTGTCCCACAAATGGAGATCTGATAAAAGGGTTTCTGCTCCACTCTTTCCGAGCCTGTCTGAGAACAGACGCCAGCCTACAGCTGGGGTTGATGAGCAACAGGTCAGATCATGATGGTCAAAAGGAACTGACCCAGGGAGCCTCTTCAGTATATGGGTAGAATGCACAGGGAAAATAAAGCAACCCCTGATCTTCTCCTGCAGTAGAAAGTTCTGTATATGGTGTTAGTGGGGGTATATATTTAGGGAATACAGTAAGCAATTAAAAGCCCCAGAATCTTAGATGTTTAAATACGCAAAGGGAAAACATTATCTAATTACATTACAGCAGCAATATAAAAGCATATTTAATTACACATGCAATTAACAAAACCACCACTTTCCAGAAAGTCCAACAGCCACCAAGCAAAGAGAGGTTCATTTTTTAAAGTATGTTTACTAACAGTGCAATCATTACCTTCATCTTAAAATTTCACCTCCTGGCACTAGTCTACGATTCCCTCAGATTAGCTTCTCAAAGGCTTTAAGATAATTTTGGAATGTAAACAGCATTCCTTCCAAAATGTTTTGAAGTGAACTGATAACTTTTCAATAGCAAGACTCATTTTCCACATTCACAGAATTAATTCCCTACAACAAGGAAGCACTCGTGCATTTCAGGTAGATTAACTTCCATTAATTTACACTTGAGACTAGAGGCTTTGTTTATTTGCCCATGATCAGTCTGAGTCAGTGGAGTGAAATAAAATAACTTCACTAAGAATTCCTTACCTGGTTTCTTAAGGTACAACTGATCATGCTGACATTGGGGCCAATATCAGGCCCTATACTCTCCTCCCTCCTGCCGTCCCCTGCTCCACCCCCATTCCCAGAAGAATCAGACTACAAATATTTTATCAGATAACATTCTACCAAAGGAGACAAGACTGACCATTGATTCTGCTTTGTCCTTCAACTTTTTGGCCTCCTTCATGTGAAAATCTGCTTGTTGTCTGAAAGAAAAGATCAGGTTAGGCCATCTGAATCTACGATTACTAGACTAGGGTAAGACAACCTTAGAAGACTAAGAAGGTATAAAAAAATGGAAGGAGAGGGGGACAGACGAGGGTATAGCAAAAAAGAGAAAGGAGAGGAGAGGAGGAGAGGAGGAAGGGAGGAGTAGAGGAGGGGAGGAGGGGGGAGGGGGAGGGGGAGGAGAAGAAGCAAGCATCTGAAGTCTTACTTGTCAAACTTTACTTGAAGCTTCCCTGGTTTGGAGTTGCCATTTGGCAAAGAAGGCACTGGAAAAGGATTTGCACTATCTCCAGAAGATCCCTTAAAAAAAATCATGATACACATTACACTCAAACATCTAAGACCATCATCCTAAATGTTCCATCTCCTAATTAGTCCAAAATAGTAGTCTGAAAAAGAGGAAACCAATGCTGCAAAAATTCAGCTAGGTCAAGCACTTTCCCAACTGTAAATTCAACTGAAACTGTAGATTCTGACTGTACAAGGTACTCCAAAATGGAACAGGCAATCAATAAAATCAAATGTAGAATTTTCTCTTAGTCAACACCCACCCACCCAGATTAACAGGGAGAAAGGAACTTATATTTAGAAAGTGGATACGTTTTTTTCTGTGGTAAACAATAACAAAATTTGATATAGAACATCTAAACCAAGAAATAACCAAGGCAACCATTTCTTATACTAAAATGTCTGTTAGAAAATTGACAGGAAATTGACAGGAAAATCTATTCCAATTTTTACATCTGAACCACTTTAAGAAGAAAGGACATCTAAATTTTCATATAATGATGTCTTTCACTCTTTCTGTAAAAAATAGAGTTTTAAACACAAAAAACTCATTATTGCTATTAAAATTACTTGAAAGTGATGAATAATCATGAAATACTGTCATTAGGAACTACTTTGGGAACTGAAAGTAAAGATATACCAGTATAGCCCCTTTCACCCAGTTATGCCCCCCCACTCACTCTGTGCTCTGCAGAACTCCCGGAGCCCTTCCCCTCTACTCTTCTGTGCTTGGAAGTGGAAGAGTCTTTGTGGCTGCTTTTGCTACTATTGGCACTTTTGGGAGGGTCCTGGCCACAGAGATCTGCTTCCCGCCTTGGCCTCTTTTGTGCAGGCTTGGCTGGCTTCTGGGAGGACGAGGGCGTAGTTTGGCGGGGGAGCATTTCCTTCTTTGAGGGCTCAGAGGAGGGCCTGGATGATCTGGAATCAAACAGTATACAAAACCAAGTGAAGGCACAATGCAAACAACGCCATTACTTAGCTAAAGGACAACAGCTGCTGGCATAGAAGGTAAATACATCAGAGCATGAGATCCAGTTATAGAAAGACAGAATTTCAGGAACTTTTCAATGCCTTTGAGAAATACAGTAGTAAATTAAATTGTATAATCTGTCACTCAGCTTGCAGTCTTTCAGTGGTCTGAAATGACTCCACCAACACCTGTATCAGCTGCTCCTCAGGCTTCACCTTGCTGACAAGCAGGCTATCCTAGTGGCCATCCTCACATTTGGTCCTTTCTCTCTCCCTCAACTCTGTTGGCTCCCACTGGTGACACTATGCCCTTGCTTTTGTCAAATCATTTTGTGAAGCAATTTCTTGATAAACTGGAGAGCAAAAAAGTTACTTTTATAGTCACACATTCTTGGATGCACCCTCTCTCCTGAGGGACAGACGTAGTGCATGGCCCAAGGATTTTCACTCATCCTTCAAAGCGAGAGGACTAAGCCCAGGCTCCCAGAATTTAAATGAGTGCTCCCCACCAAGAATTGTGTGATTTGGACAAGTCGTTTCATCTCTCTGTGCCTCTGTTTCTGGTTCTGTGAGGTCTGGACAATATTGGCACCTTTTCTATTTTTTTATGTAAAAGTTCATTTAGAAAGAAACTAATTCCAGATGTTTAGGAAATTTTCCATTTTCATTGTTAAAATGCTTTTGATAAATCCAAGTTGTTACCAAATGAACTGTTAATTCTTAGACCATTCTCTGGATGAAAGCAACAAACATAACCCATCATCTAAGTGTGAGTCACTGCAGAAAGAAAGCATCTCTGCCACGTCAAGACCCAGGAAGACTCAATCACCCTTAGGCTGTGCCTCGTCTCTATACTCACTTTGATTTAGAAGATTCTTTGTGAGAGGATGAAGATGATGACTGTGATTTGTTTTCTTTCTCCAGTCTGACTTTCTTGTTATCATGGTCTCTTTCTGCTTCACCCTATTACAGTAAACAAAATAGCTATAAGCATAACTGTAGAGAAGGGGTGGAGGGAGTCATCAAAGGCAGCAATATTGACTAGACTTTTGGAGGCATCTGTAGTCTCTATGGCAAGGCAACATTAGTACATATACTTGAGGTAAGGGAGAGGAGACAATCTAGATTTGATGTGATTTTTATTGAGATAGATTTTTGCATGAGGAAATACTATTTTTCATACGCAGGAAAGGGAAGTTGTCTTAGTAATATACTGACAAGAAGAATAAATAGATTTCAACATATCATTGGTGTTTTCCTAAGCATAAAAAAATCAATATATCACAACAAGTAACAACAGATGATTTTATAAGTAAGTTCCTCCTTCTTTCAAAAGAACCATTTATAACTAATAACTTGTTTGCATAAAATTAGTATTTAAATCTTAATTATCTTCTAATGAAAACCAAATACACTGTTGGAAAAGAAATAGGCTACAAAAAAATTTGCTTATAGATCTTACACATAAGGACTAGAAAGACATCCAACAAAATAAAAACAGTTGTTTTAAATTTCTGTTAATTTTTCCTTTTTTTAAAAAAAGGATTGCCTTTATTATCTGCATTCATGGAGATTTATTAACTTTCAAAAATTTGAAAAAAAATAAAGGATTGTAAATATGATTTTAGTGAGGGACTATTAGTGCTAAGAAGAGAAATATTTAACAATACAGGATGGGCCTCCCCGGTGGCGCAGCAGGTTGAGCACGGCTCTGTGAAGCTGTCCCTCTGCAGCACCAGTTCGATTCCTGGCTGGCCAGGGAGAATCCCACATGGTGTGGCAGACCTCTCCTGCCTTGCCCCCTCAGCAGTGCTTTCAGTCTGTCTGCTTGTTCTGCTCCCCGCTCTGTCTCTGGTGAATCCTCTCACCCTCCCACGACTCTGGCCTGTACCCCAGCTCTTGTATAAATAAAAATAAATCTTTAAAAAAAAAACAACACAGGAATTAGGCACGCAAAGGAGACCATTTAAACCAACTAAAATGCAAGGCAAATAAATACCTGTGATGATTAAGAAAACAAAGAATTCTTCATGGCTAAAGTCTGCTTCATGTTTTTGTGCTCACTAGTTAATAAGTATACCAAATTTACAAAAAGTCCAACATGTTCAACATTTGTCCAACTGTGCACCCCAAATTCTGGGTGCCCCCTCTTCCTGGTCTGGTTGGAGGTAGCAGCACCTGGGAAGGGGGAGCTACCGACTCTCCAGCAATGACAGTGAAGTGATCAGTGGGAGTCCTGCAATTAACTTTGATGTATGTTTAGAACGAAACTCCTCCAACTGTCAGTTCACCCAGAGAGAAATCTGGGACACCACCAGTCAATCTAGGACAATCCCTTAAAAAACCTGAAATCCTCTCAAAGTCTTAAAGGAAAAACCATTCTTCAAATAAACTGCAGGGAGCCCCAGTTTTCACCACTGTCTCCTCCCATGGTCCCTGATTTTCTCCAAAAAGAAAAAAAAAAAGAACAAATTAAGACATTGAGGCTCAAGCTCTGCCAGACACTACTAAGCAGCCTTGCTCAAACACGGGGAAACAGGTAAACCTGCCCTTCCTTTTCCGAGCTCTCTGCACACAGCTATGCTGGAGTGTGCCCTTCCAGCAGGCCTCGCAAACCCTCTAGGAAAACATTTCCTGTTTCAAAATGGATTATTCAAGGTGGCTGATAAAGATATTTATTTTTAATCTCTTGGCACGTGAACAAGTGAGAACTTTAAGAAGGGAAAATATGGGTAGAGAATTTAATTCCAAGAGAAGACTAGAGGCTATCAGTTCTGCCTGCCCTCTTTTTTTTTTTTCAAGTGATGTTGTATTTTTTTAAAGATTTATTTATTTATGCATACAAGAACTGGGGTACAGGCCAGAGGTGTGTGTGGGGGGGGTGAGAGGATTCACCAGAGACAGAGTGGGGAGCAGAACAGGCAGATCGACTGAAATACACTGCTGAGGGGAGCAGCGGGTGAGTTAGGAGAGGTCTACTGTGCCATGTGGGTCACTTCCCTGGCTGGGGATCGAACTCATGCTGCAGAGGCTGCAGATAGCTTCATAGGTTGCGTGTTAACCCCTTGCGGCACAGGCCCCAGTTCTGCCCTCTCTTGCACACAGTTAGGGAGTGTATGGACACACCTTATCCAAAGTGACAAGCACCCCCAAAGACTCAGTGCAAATGGGGGAAATTCAATAATTTTTATACTGATTAAATGTTGAAATGATATTTTAAATATTACAAATTGAAAAAATTAAAAATTATTTTTAATTTTAAAATTATTATTATGGTTTTCTTTATTTCCCCTTTCAGTATTTTTTTAATTTGGCTACTAGAAGATCTAACATTACCTATATGACTCACATTATATTCCTACTGACACTGCTTTCTCCATACTTTGCTAGAATAATCTGCAAAATGGCCTCTGAATTTCCAATTAGTTAATACAATGAAAGAAGTTCAAGTTAGAGAAGATAAAAACAAAATAGCTGCTCAGAAATATAACCTTTCATCACAATGGTCAGAGAAAACGTACCTTGAGGGACTCATAAGGAGGTAAGATGTGTAATAAACACACATCCTGGAAGCACAACTGAAATGCCAACAGTGATTTCCCCTGTGGCGTTCAACATGCACCAGCAGCAGAATTCAATTCAGCAGAAATGAAATGCACTGGCGCATGCCAGGTAAAGTCTGCTGGAGTTTTGCTCAGCATATAATCTTCAATCAATAATTTAAAATGGTGACACTTAAGAGACAGTTGATATTGTCAGAGGAAAAAAAATTAAAATTGCTGGGTTAAAAGAAACCTACCAATGGGGGCTGGGGGGTATTGGGAGGTAAGAGTACCCTCCCCATCAATTAAGAAGTTAGTGTGCCTATGAGGCTCTGCCACCAAGGGGCTTAGGAATTCTCTTATTTTTTTTTTTTTTTTTTTTAAATATTTATTTATACATACAAGAACTGGGGTGCAGGCCAGAGGTACAGGGGGTGAGAGGATTCACCAGAGACAGAATGGGGAACAGAACAGGCAGATCTACTGAAATACACTGCTGAAGGGAGCAGTGGGGGAGTCAGGAGAGGTCTACAACACCATGTGGGTCACCTCCCTGGCCAGGGATTGAACTCATGCTGCAGTGGCTGAGGATAGCTTCATAGTGCTGCGTCTTAAGCCCTCGCGCCACCAGGGAGGCCCCTCTCTTGAGTTTCAGATTAAACACTGCATAGCCGGCTCAGCAAGCAATGTAAAAAAATGGTACATTTATCTTTGGGAAAAGTCACAGAATTTGCTGAACTATCCAGATAGATATTAGTACATGAGTAGTAGCTAGTAATAGACACAGTTTTCAATGGAAGGGATTTCCAGGCAGTTAGTGAATCACAGGCTAAGTCCCCAGGGCAAAACTAACAAAAGTCTTCCCCAAGGTTACTTCCTGAAGAAAACACCAAACCCCAGAGGTGGAATGACAGTTAATTTCTGTTTGTGTGTTTTCATGCTGCTTAGAACTTGCTACTTATGACCATAAACCAAAGTGGCAGACCTTACAAACCACACATAAAAATAAGATTCACAGTGAGTCAACCCTTAAAATTGGTCATAACTCCAGTTTGGGCCAATCGGTGACTTGAAAGAACAGCCAAAACCCGAGAAATCACCAAACACTTAATTTTAATACTTAAGAACGCTGTTGTCACTTTCTGGAATAATATGCTTTATATTGATATTTAGCAACTTAGAAGCCAATCATAATCAGTAAGCTAAGAGAAAGTAAGCCATTAAACCAAATAATGCCAAAATCCTCTTCTGTTATTTTGCTTACTTGACTGAGTTCAAGCCTCTGGGGTTGAGGTTAGTATTTTGTACACTATGCACTTGGAAGCCTGTCATCTTCTATCTGGAACAGTCACAGAGGCCTCCCCAGAGCAGGCACTCAATATTTGTCAAGTGGCATGGAAATTAAATTTAGCAGCTGAGGGGCATGGTTGAGGTCCCTGGAGGCAGGACTGCACTATAATATTAAAGCAGGCAGATTTAAGAAAGGACCATCAAAGAGGGAGCCACGCAGTTCTGGAGGCAGGAAATAAAGGCTTGAATTTCCAAGAAGGAAAACAGGAGTTCTTTTTGGGTCAAGAAGCCATTTGAAAATGAGATGACATGTATTCTGTTTAGGAGGAAAAATAAGTCTTCTTTGCCTATAGCTTACACACAAATCAACCTCACTACAGGAATGTCATCTAAGGCCTGGGTTTTGGAAGAAGCACAAGAGTCCGGTGGTGTGCCTGCATCCACAAAGGAAGGCTGCAGGCAATGACCAGATACTGATCACTTGTTCGTTTTTCTGAACCTGTAAGGTCAGGCAGTCACAGATTATCTGCTAAATGCTATTTGACCTACAGAGTGAAGCAAGAGAGAAAGAATGAAGACCATGAATGGAAGAGATAACCCTTGGGGCGGCCAACATGGTTTCTGGAAGAAAATGCCTCAGGGCAGCCTCAGTATCTGGCTCAGTATCTGGCTCACTGCCTCAGTATCTGGCTCACTGCACACCTCCCATCTAGGTAACCTGTAGGTAGTAGGAGATATGAAGGCAGTTTTTTCAGAATTGATATTCATTTGGGGTCATAGTTTATAACAGGTATAGAGAGAGAGTCCTACCAGGAACTGGGCTGTGATAGGGAGAAAAACGGACAACCTAATGGGAAATTAGATTGGCGAAGTTGTCTGTGGGGTATTGCGGTAGCAGGAGGGGGGCTTGGAAGGACTGAACCAGAGATGATACGGTAACCGCCAGAGTCCCTACCACTGATCTTGAACTACAATTTGTACCTCTTCAAGAATCCCCCGCAATAGACACTTGTGTGCAAATACCAAACAAACAGTTGAGGAAATATCCCATCTATTTAAACGTAATAGCTGAGTCAGTGATCTGTAAGGTTTTAGCACTCAAGTTCTAAGACTCTGTCATAGTCTTCTCCCATAGAAAAGCAAATGAGCTCGGTAATGCATGGGTCATGGGAAAACTAGAGAAGTGAACTTTATGGAAATTTGTGTATTTTCCTGGGAATTGCCTTTGCAGGAGGTTGATAAGAAGAGAATACAGTTAACACCATGTCCAAATTAGTAGCAAGGCTGAGTACAGAGAATTAGTAATGAGAATACAGGTTATCTTCACTGGGATAAGCACTATACAAAAGGAAAATTAATTCACTTTTTTACTTTTTGGTGAGGAAATACAGATATTACAATCCTTAAAACAGTCTTAGCTATCACATGCATCTAGTTATGTTGCTTTTAGGGTAACTAAATAGGCATGAAGAAATTAGATATCTGGCTTTAGGAAATTATATGTGACGCCTTTTCAAACCCTTGATTATGAAGGGTAATAACCAGGGATGTTGATACAGAGAAACAAGGCCCAAAACAGTCAGATCTTGGAACAAGGGAAGGACTAAACCTTAAGCAAGACAAATACACACTTTCTGACAACGTCCCATTACTTCCTTTCCCTGTTCTTGAAAACATACATAAATGATGGCACTGAAAATTGTTTTCCTAAAATACCAAAGCTTCTTGATCAGTAAAGCATTTATTTAGAAAAAACAAGATAGATTTGGTGAGCTTAACTCCCTGTTCAGTATTTGTCTATATGACTGTTAGGGACAGTCTTGCATTGTATTTGAAAGACAATCTCTCAGATGGTTGAATTAAATGCAGTCATATCTATAAAGGCACCCAGAACAATGCTTAGCCCCATGTATGCTTGCTGTGGGTATTTTCTACATTGCAACAGCCTGTCATACTATTTCTGAACTTCAATTTTTCTCCCAAATCTGGAAAACAAAAGCTTGGTTTAAATATTATGGAAAAGGAGGTTAAAAAGTCAGATTTTCAATTCTTTTTTAAAAAAGATTTATTTATTCATGCATACAAGAGCTGGGTTATAGGCCAAAGATTCATGGGGTGGAGGTGAGAGAATTCACCAGAGACAGAGTGGGGAGCAGAACAGGTAGATCTACTGAAATACACTGCTGAGGAGAGCAGTGGGAGAGACAGGAGAGGTCTGCAGCACCATGTGGGTCAGCTCCCTGGCCAGGGATTGAACTTGTGCCCAACTTGAGACTGTCCAACTTGAGACTGCAGTGGCTGTGGATAGCTTCACAGTGCTGAGACTTAACTCCTTGAGCCACGAGGGAGACCCCTTCTCACACTTTTAAATCTAAAGTCCGTAACCCTCTAAAAATACTGCCAAAATTTTACACCAGGAGAGAGAGAGACTCTAGAGGGTCTTTAAATAAAAACACTAAATTCCACTAGTGGGAAGGCTCAGGCACAGTCTTCAATTGCTCTCACTACATCCTTAGAGAACTTTTCCTAATGTTCATACTTAAAGTGACAAAAAAAAAACCCCAAATTTGGGGAAAAATGATCAAGTTTAAAGAAAGTACTGTCCTGCCTGTGGCGTGCAGCCCAGGCCCAAGTGCTGGCTTCGGGGGCGACAGCCTTTATGCCTGAACGAAGGGAGCCAGGGTCCTGATAGAAAGGGGATAGCCCACCTGCCCCCAATAGGGAAGGATCTGAGATTAAGTTCATTACTGATAATACCTGGAATCCTGCATGAAGTAAAAGCAAATGACATGGTTCTCTTACCATGAAATAAGTGTAATTGGCTAATATCTATATTTTTTACTCAAAAGCTTCTAAATAATATTTTTAACTAGTAACATAATTCAGGGCAAGAACTTCCTGGTTGCTAGATCCATAATGTCTAAAAGGAGCTCCAAAGAACACTGTATAATCTTGGCCCCAAGTTTCTGCTCCAGTAGTTCCCATTCCCCTAGGCATAAGGATTACCTGAGGACTTAAAAAAAACATCAAGTGGGGTTTGGGGTCTGTGGTCCATACCCAAATCCTGTAAAGGCTCCCAGGTAAACAACACACAAACCTAAGGCTAGGAAATGCTGGTTCACACCCCTGATCCTGTCAATCCTACAGCATAAAGACAGGCTGCTCCCAAGGGTCAGAACTCCTAGCTGCTTGCCAGAGCAGTAACACAACACGCCCATTACTTCTCCATCCTCTAAATAGAAAGATAAAGGAGTTTTCCTAGTGGTGCCAAGGGCTGGGGATGGCGTTTTTAGAGGGCACAGTCTATACATTCAACAAGAAGAGTGGAGCTTCCCCATTCTCTAGACATGCACTGGAAGCTGTGGATTGGTCTGAGCAACTCTAGTGCAAATTCTAGTTAGTGAGGATTTTAGATGCTAATATCCTCCCCCTGCTAGCTAGCAAAAGGGTTTAGCACTAGGGACTAGATAAGACCAAGACAGTGGGGGGACAAATTAGTATAGGAAATGAGTCTATTTTTGAAATTTTCTCAAGTATATTAGGTGCAGATTTTTCTTCCATAAAGCTTCACACCTTTAATACACACAAACATACACATATACACACACACGAGTTTTAAAAGTTATAGGCATGAGAAGATGCTCTCTTCTCGCTGCACCACCACCACCATGATCCCATCCCTCTCAACTTGCTACTACAGATATGGTGGCAACACACATTCTCATGTCCCATTTGACCAGGTTCTAGAGAAAACTGTCACCCTTTACTTTATTTTTAAAGTGACCAGTACAAGTAGTACAAGTCACATTTTTTTTTAAAGATTTATTTATTTATTTATACAAGCACTGGGTACAGTCAGAAGCGCGGGAGGGTTTGAGAATTCACCAGAGCCAGAGCGGGGAGCAGAACAGGCAGGACAGAAGTACACTGCTGAGGGGAGCAGTGGGCAGCAGGAGAGGTCTGCGTGCCATGTGGGACCCTCCTCCGGTGGCCGGGGATCAAACCGGCGCTGCAGAGGCTGCGGGCAGCTTTGCAACCCAGCGCTCAACCGCTGCGCCACTGGGGGGGGCCCCAAGTCTTGTTATATTTTTAACCCAGTGTTGTAATCAGGTGAATCAGACACCATAGCAGGCTACATGATCTTTCTGTCCTGTTATTCTTAGCTCAACTTCCACACCGATGAAGGTTTTTGTGTACTTATGACAGTGTTGAAATTTTTATTCCTTCTCAGCAGGAAAGAATTGGTTCTTCTTGTGTCTTTCATTCTGAATATTGGGAAGGCTGGCTTAAAAAAGGCCACTAAGGGAAACAAACTCAGTAATTTTTCATCATTTAGAAGCAGTGAAAAATATTATCCAGAATTCAATGACTCAGAGTAAAGGAAGGAGGCTATCTAAAATAGTGGTGTGTCCAAGTAACTGAGGACCTTAAATAATGCAATGCTTATCTTCTTTACTATGTTCATTCCTTAAGTGAAACTTGTAAAAATTGTGATAAACGACAGATTTTCAATACTTCACAATGTACCTATTAATCAACAGAATAGCCTAACCTTAATATTTAATAGCTCTAAAAGTTTTTTTTTTAAATAATATTCTGCTTATTAAGAAGTTCTTAATGGAGATCGCAAATTCTAAATCTAGTGGCTTCAAATTAATAACTTGTTAGGTGGCCATGATTTAAAATATGAATGGGGGCCTCCCTGGTGACGCAAGGGGTTAAGACAGTACTGTGAAGCTATCTGCAGGCACTGAAGGACGAGTTTGATCCCAGAGTTGACCCACAGGGCACAGCAGACCTCTCCTGTCTCACCCGCTCTTCCCCTCAGTAATGTATTTCAGTAGATCTGCCTGTTCTGCTTCCCATTCTGTCTCTGGTGAATCCTCTCACCCCCCTGCATCTCTGGCCTGCACCCCAGCTCTTGTATACATAAAGAAATAAATCTTTTTAAAAAAAGATAAAACATGAATGTAATATCAGCATTAAAAAGATCATATTACAAGAGTATAGAACAATTCTTTCAGACACTCAGACTACTAACTAATATTTCAGTTCAGGTAAGGTTTTAATTTCTAGGGTAAAACCTAACGAGTTAGGGGGCCCATAAAGCAAATGTTATCAGAATGAAAAAAATACTCCTAAATTCTACATTTACCTTCAACAAGATTTCCTGTCAATTATTGCCTCATCTTTTTTCAAACTAGCAAGACCGCGGAAGGCACCTGACATTTGTTCTTGTCTGTCTGTAGAGTGGGAAGCATTTAGGGGCCCAGTGAAAACGGGGACTGGCTGGAACCCAAGCACAGACTTCCAGCTTCTAAGACCACTAGGGTTATCATCACGGGCCAATTAAAGACAGCGCCAGGACAAGAGTAGGTGTACCCCGCACCGCAGGGGGAGACTTGCCCGCACTCACCTTTCTCTTTTTGGCCAACTTGCTCGAGTTGTCCAAACTTCTCTTCTCAGAGTCGACCTTCTTCCCTGCAGGAGGCTGCTTGTCCTCTGTTTTCTTCGGGCGCCCCCCTTTCCCAGGGGGCTGGGGTATCCGAGAAAGAAGGTCTAAGGTTATCTTCACCATCAAGCTTTGTAGGGGTGGAGTGTCCCTGAGTGGGGAGAGCAGCTTGGTGTCTCTCAAAGGCACCGAGAGTTTGTCCTTCCGGCGGTCCTCCGGGACCACCACGGCACGCCGGCAGCCACTAGTCCTGCCCCCACCACCATGGGGGGGCCCCTGGGTCTGAGTCAAGGGAACCAGGGCAAAGTGCTCAGGGCTCCTGTCCTCCACATTGTCCTTCGTGGGCTCCGGGCCCAAGAGCGCCTTTGAGGGGGCTTGGGGGGCGCCCCTGTGCTTCTTCCTGTCACTGGGGGTGGGCACTGCTGGCTTGGACTCTCTGCTTTCTCCGGCACGGGGCCTCCCTTTCGTCTTCACCTTGGGCTTGTCTTTGGAAGGCTGGTCTTTGGAACCATAGGGAAGAAGTCCTAGCTCACTTTCCACCTGCAAGCTGGCCCGCGAGTCTGTCTGAGCAGAGGTCTTGGCAGGTTTCTTGGGTTGTTTGGTTCCAACAATTTGCCTCTGTGGGGGTTCCTGTTGGGCAGGGGACTTCTGACAATGTCTCTTGCCAGCATGGGGGCCTTCGGAAGGAACCCGGGGGACTTTGCTGGAGCTTTTGGGGGGAGGATCTTTGGATTCTGAGTGCTCGTGACCAGCAGTGCTCCTGGCACTGTCGCTGCAGCCCTTGAATTTACTGTCCAGGTGCCGGGGTGGGGTCTCTGTACTCCCCACAGTGTCCAGGGGCACTGCAGGTTGGCTGACCTTGGTCAACCAATTGTCCAGCTGCCATTTATTTGTTGTAGGAGGCTCAGGCTAAAAACAAGGAAAGAGAGATAACTGACCAATGATGATAAACTCTTTTATGCTCTTCACTTTTCTCTACAGGACTATCCCAGGGAGACATATCATCCCAAATCTAAGAAGTCAGGTCCTTTCTTATCCTCCTCTAACTACAGGTCAGATTCTCTACTATTAACTCTTAAATCAATCTTCCAAAAAAAATTTGTGATATGGATTTTGTTGTAGCAGATATTAACTAACACTAGACTATTAGATACTGACCAATGTAATAAACCATTAACAACTGCTAAGAAAGTTTCATAACAATCATTTTGTTTTAAACAATTATTTTGTTTTGCTGTACAATTACTGTTGTAATTGTACAACAGTAAAATTACACAGAACTGACATATTTTGACTTGTAAGCTATTCTATCAGAAAATAAGGAGAAATGAAGAAAAGAACTCTTCAAATAGGATTTTTAGAAGAAGGCTAAGTATCTGTGGATTTCATCTTTTATACTCTTTTGGACATAGTTTTCAATTGAAAGTGTTCAAAATTTGATTTCCTTTTTTTAATTAAAAATGAACATTTATACATGACAAGATTTTCAGTATATCATACACAATACTGACTTTCAAATTTTATATTTCGATAAAAGGAATCAAGGAGGTCATATTTCTAATGAATTCACCTGGATTCTTTAAAGATCAAACTTTAATTAATCTCTTTATACCAGCAACCTAGTCTGAAATAGCACCTATTTTTCTCAGAAACAGAGTAGCTCCAGAGCAGTGAGATTATACTAATTATTTGTGCAACTGATTTAGCATATAAACAGAAGTTCCAAACTTCTACTGTTATGTGTTGTTTAAATCTTTGTTGCTAATTAACTGCTGCTGCATGCCACCATCTAACCTGCTATCAGTTTTATTAACAGAATGATAGTTGGCATTTTATCCCCATGCTCTACTCTTTTATCTAGCATTGTGTAGAGTAAGTAGGGAACTTATTTCAGGATTTTATGCCATATAGAAAAGTGTAGTGTAGGACTGAGTAAGCACTGGTTAGACCATTTATTTTAAGGGCAGTAAGCCATTGACTTTGCTTTTCTTAAACTCCTATCTGATAGGTGGTTTGTACAAATGACTGTATCACATATACAACATACCAGGAAGTTAACTGGTAGATATTCCACCACATGAGATCTAACTAACTATAGATAAGGAGTTCACTCCAATGGAAGATGGTATTTTATGGGGAAGACTGTTGACAATATTGCAAATAACTTAATTCTATTAAAAATGCAAATTTAATACGCGCAGATATGTGGATATGATGTGAAGACTTTTTGGCTAGGAGAAAATCAGGTAATAAAATGATCACGTAGTCCAGGCATTGTGTGATTATATAGAACAGCCCTAAGAAGAACTGTAAGAACTTATATAAGAACATACTTTAGGCAAAAAGACTGCATTATTCATTTTTACAGCCTATGGGCCTATGCCATCCTGTTGGCTTAAGATCACATCACTCCTTTATGGCTTCCAGCACTTACATGGATGTTATACCCAGGCTCACATTTGAATTTCAGAGCAGGGAAAAGTAGTCTCATGTACCACACATGTAATCTAACTCTATTCAAATTTCTAACAAGTCAGGATTGTTAAGGGTAGAGAAAAGTGAGCATATAATACCTACTTATCAAACATTACTTGATGCAAAGACCTGAGGGTGTTGTAATGCTAGTGGCTAACTGATTGGGGGCAAAGCATTATGCTACATCATTTGCTGATTACCTTAGGAACCAAACCTTCACGCCCTTTCTCAGGAAAGGTATATAGCTATCTCACCAAAGTGACATTTATAACTGTTCTCCAGTCACTGACAGGTACTTTAGAAGAGTATTTATGCATGAACGAAAAAGGAAAGCAATTTCCGGTATAAATACAATTGTTCTTTTTCCCCACCAAAATAAGGCAGTATTAAGATACCGTTAATAGTCCCTAAAGAAATGACCTGATAAGAAAAAGAAACAAAAAACTTTCTTCCACTGTGGTCCTCAAACTGTTTAGAATGGAGGTTATGGCCCAGTTGCAAGGTAAACTTGAGTGAGTCTGCCCAGACAAGGAGAAATGGTTTGGAGTGGTCCTGTCCATATATTGACCTTAATAAAAGTGTAAAGTGGATAGAATCCCTTTAAAGTCAGACATCTGTGTATTGGGGTGGGGGGAATTTTTACATAAGAGATTAATTAAAAACAGATTTTAAAATGAATTTTAAGAGTGTGCTGTGGAGGCTCAAGGTTTGGACTTCTGTTTCTTCCTTTGCCTTTCCTCATGCTTCACCCTGCAGCATCCTGGTGCTGGTGCACACAAATACTTCACATTGGAAGTGAAAAAGTATTTCAATAAATGTTTGACCACATGTTCATTTATCTATCCTAGCTTCTCACAATGGCAAGAGTTCATGTATTTTAGGATCAATTATGGTTCTGAAGAAAAAATTTTGGGTTTTGCATAATAATAAATGCCCTACTTTTTTGTTAAAACACCACAGTTGTGAGGGAGCATGATCCAAAAATTTGAAAAGAAAAAGTGATGAAGCAAGAAGTAGCATGGGCTTAAAGGGGAGAAAAAAGAGTTAAAAGCTATGGGCTTAATTCTTTGTAATAACTGTTCACAGTTGAAATAAAAGCTACCAACCTTACAGGGTGTATAAAGGATTAAATCAAATAATTTACAAAAAGCACCCAGAGTCTACTGGGCAATCAATATAAGGTAGTTTACTTTCAAAGAATTAGACAAAATATTAGAAAACTAAGCAAATCTCTGAATAACTGAGAACAGAATCCTGTTCTCTGAGCCTTACTTATGCAATTAAAAGGTGACATATCTAATGCATTTGAAAAGCTGAGGTTTACATTTTAATTCCTACTATAATGCAGACATTGAAATGGATTCTGCGGTGCCTGTTTTCCAGGCTCACCATGAGCCCACTGGCATGTCTGTAACATTTCATCAAATGAATTTAAAATGGAATCATAAAATACAAGTGCATTAAAAATAGAATAAAGAAAAGGGTAAGAAAGCTAAACGTAGTAACTGTACCTGTAATGGAATACATATTACTTTCAGTGAACACAGGAGATTTACAATAATGCATGTTATTTATTTTGAAACAAAAGAGCAGTAGTTAAATGCTTTGTGGGAAATTAAATGTTGAAAACCTAGACAAAGACAAGATGTTTCTGGAAAGCTGAGCTTCAGTGCATGATGGACAAACCAGTCCCAAGTCTAGATTTTTGTACATCAAAAGAAATGTATCAACAGGAGCCTTTTTAGTAAGGCAATTAAAAAAAAAAAAGTAGGATGGAAACATTTACTTTTCACCTAATAGTCTCTAAAACTATTCCAGTAATCTCCTGAGCAATAAGACATCACTGTTTCATTAATACAAACACTACACCTTCAAGTTTCAATTATCAGTCAATTCTGTGCCATTCTCTTCTATCTGAATTGGATTTTGTTATTTAAATGAGTCCTCTTCCTTGTATCAGTAACCTAACAAGCATGCAGATTTTTCTTATTAAGTTGTAACATAAAGATCATATAAACACTAACAGTGAACAAACACAATTTGTCCGCAGAGCATGTTCAATATCCTTTTCCCTGAGGCATAGAAAAAAATCATTTCAACAGCAATTACTATTACACAAAGAAAGAGGAGAGTCCCAGAAACAGAGCAGCTTCTAAAATCTGAAAGGCACTTTGAGTGCAGTTAATGCCGATTCATGTTTGTTCACTCCAAGAAATACTTGCTGAGCAGACACAAATTCTTACCAACCAAAAAACGACAATCTTTTTCTCAGCTTCCCTTTCCCTCAGTCATGGATCTTATGTCTCACTCCATGTTCTCCACAGGCTTTTGGTCACTGTCCTAGGAAATGGTCTTACTTTCTAAAGAGCAGAAACGAATACTGAAAGTTTGAACGCTTCTTAATCAGAAAGTCTCTTTTTTTGGCATTCCTATCAGAGATATGAGAATAATTTTTTCTCTGCAAACTGGGCTCATTCACGAGAAATGCCTTCCCTTTTCACTAAGTAGCCATCCCTATCATATTTTTTACATTGTTACTCCAAGTTTTAATAATGTTTGGCCACCTTTTCAGTTGTTCCTACATTTTTTGTTTAGTAATCTAGTAAACAGCATAAATTCTTCAGATAGATTTAATGCTTGGAGTTTTCAGTCTCATCTGTTTATCTTTACATTTCCCAAGGATGAGTGAGAGGCAAACACAATTATTTGTGCTGTATATACAGCAGAGGGAGCAAAAAATACAGACCTGGCAAAATCACTTTACCATCAATTTAATGATGGCTTTTAGTGGTTTAAAAATAGAACCTCTGATGACTTATTTCTAGTTCATGTTCCTGCCCTTTGCTATAACAAGCTGCCTCCTTTATATTTCCTTAATTCATGCATTCCTGAAATTTCAAAAAAATGCTCATTAATATTAGAACAGCAGCCTACTAAAAACACATTTTCTCTTTCAAATGAAGGGACAAAGAAATACGCAAATAGGAACAGCTGGTTTGACACAGTGCAGGAGCAGGAGGTGAGGCCGAGGGACTGGGCCTCTGCCCTTGGTGAGTGCTGGCCAGAGGTGGACTCCAGCTTCAGGCAGAATGCTGCCATGCAGATTGTCTCTGGGGGGGGGGACACAGTACCTCAGGCGCTGGAGTTTCTAGGGGCTCGTTCTCTTCACTGTCACTTGAACTGCTCTCACTCTCTGAGTCTGAGGAGCTGTCAGAGTCGCTGGTGCTCTCAGATTCGGCACTGCTGGAATGTGCTGAGGCCGCTGTTGCTGGAAGCGACTGAGGAGCACTGCAAGGCAACCAACAGAGTGTCAGGGCACCAGGTAGGGTGAAGTTCCTGTCTTCACTCATTTCTCTTTATTCATTTTTCTGCCACTCAAAAGATAGGGTCCTCAACATGACCTAATATTAATAAATGACCAACTGAGAGACTGAATCACAGTGGCTTAAAGAGCAGGAAGAAAATCTTAAAACAGCTCTCTAGATAGATAACTGCATTAAAAACACAAGTCTATGAAACTCTTTTCTTGAATTGTATCAGGGGTTGGTAAACCATGACCTGAGCTGGAAGCCTGTCTGTCTAAATAAAGTTTTATTGGAACATAGCCACGTCCATTATTTTATGTATTGTCTATGCCTTTTATTTTACAGAATGCAGTAGCCACAGAGACAATATGGCCCACAAAGTCTAAAGTATTTATTGCATGACCCTTGAGGATTGTTGAACCCTACTATGCTAACCCAAAATGTTTTATATAGAACCAAAACCAAAAGAAGTTCATTTATAAAATAGCAGCCAATACATTAAAATCTCCCTAGAGTCTCATATTAGAACTAACTATATGGAAGTCAAAGATGACTGACTATTAATCAATGGTGCTCCTTTGAAAAGTGGCCTCAAAGGTAGATCAATCACTTTTGGGGGCAGAATTCTAAAATAGTTCATTCTTTCTGAGTGGCTTAGCAACCAGCCCCAAATATCAGATGAGGTATAGATTGACCACTGCAAGTTTCAGAATAGGGCACAAATTCTAGGTCAGTGAGAACACACACTGATCACACTACTGGACACATAGAGAATGTCAAAGCATATCTGCAAACTTTTCCCTACTGCCATTAGCCAAAGCACTACATCAATAACCATAATCTGGAAAGTCTTTATTTATTTTTTTTTTTTCAAAAGATTTATTTATTTATACAAGAACTGGGGTACAGGCCAGATGTGTGGGAGGGTGAGAGGATTCACCAGAGACAGAGTGGGGAACAGAACAGGCAGACTGACTGAAAAACACACTGCTGAGGGGAGCAGCAGGCGCGACAGGAGAGGTCTGCTGCGCCATATGGGATTCTCGCCGGCCAGCCGGGATCGAACCCACGCTGCAGAGGCTGCAGACAGCTTCACAGTGCAGCGTTCAACCGCCTGCGCCACCAGGGAGGCCCTGGAAAGTCTTTAAATGAACCTAAATATTTTCAAAATAAATTTGATAATATAAGCAAAGATATTAAATAGACTAACAAAAAAGTACTAATGCTAATCATTAGTAGCATTAAATTAAAATTAAATTACTTAATTTTAAAACAAGCACATTATACCATGACATAATTTCCTCCTATAAAGTGCTGTATCAGTAATTGACCATTCTCACACTGGTAGCTGAAACAACTTAAGCCAGTGATGATCAGAATAATCTTAATAATCAGAATACTTAAACAATGCTCTTCCTGCCTCAAATTTATCCCTACTTTGTTTTTCTGTTATTGTCTCCACTTTAACTTAGTCTACTTTTATGAGTCCTTATAAACTACCAGAAATTATTTAATGAAATGGGATAGAAACTGTCATTGCCTTTATGAGGGAAGATTTTTATTGCTCAGCTTATCTAGGAAATGGATGGTGTTTCAAGGGAGTAAAGCTGCTATAGCTATTTTTAACTTTTTGTTCATGAAGGGAAGCTATTGTCATTTTAAATCACCAAATTCAGTACCAGAAGAAAATGCTACAAAGGTGGTTCAGATAGTTACCACTTTCGAAAGTTAAAGCACCCCATTTTCTAAAATATGACTAGCTATTTACAAAGTGAAAACAAGGCCATTATCTAGCATGCGAAAATATACTTCAGATTTTTAAAAGCAGCTGAGCCAATTAGAAACTTCTCATGTAGCTACGAAAATGTACAAGGTGAACACTAATTTGTAAAAGTAATTGAGCTTTGTAATTTTTGAAAACACAGCAAGTCTGTCATTTTCATAAAAACAATGGACTCTTCAGTATAGCTTTTCAGATACTAGTTACATCTTACTGATGAAAATAATAAAAAGCTTATCTTTTTTTTAAAGATTTATTTATTCATACAAGAGCTGGGGTATAGGTCAGAGGTGCAGGGAGGTGAGAGGACCCACCAGAGATAGAGTAGGGAGCAGAATAGGAAGCTCTATTGAAATGCACTGCTGAGGGGAGCAGCAGGTGAGACAGGAGAGGTCTGTTGCACCATGTTGGTCAGCTCCCTGGCCAGGGATCGAACTCTTGCTGCAGTGGCTACTGATAGTTGCACAGTGCTGAGACTTAACTCCTTGTGCCACCAATGAGGTCCCCGATTAAGCTTATTTTTAAACTCAAAAATATAAAACATCCACAGTGATGATTCAGATGGGTGTGGGGAATCTTCTCCTTGTATGGAGTTAACAACCTCCCTATGGCTGACTCAGGGGTCCATAAAGTATTAAATGGGTACTTTCCTTTCCATTGTGATTCTCCATCTCTTTCAGAAAGAGGCAATGAACATGTCAAATAAAGCTGTTATTTTTCACATTCGGTAGAAGACTGCAATCATTTGTACAGATGGGGAGAAACACAAAGACAGTACCTTGGAGGTGCAGCTGCGGAAGGAGGCTTCTCGGGGGCCTAGGCATTCACAATAAAGGAGAGGACCAGGAAAAGAACAAAACACAGGTTAGGAAAAGCAGCTCAGAAACATCAGATTTCAAAGGATTAATGATATTCTAAAGTGCACAGAACTTACTTGTTCGCCATCACTTTCCTCACTGTCACTGAGCTGGAGATCATCTTCAAGCATGCTGAATTTGGGGGATGGGGGAAAGAGACACAGACATTACAGAATTTAAAATCGTTTCTGATACTTGCTTTTAGCATGTCAATAGAAAATAAAGTGCCACAAAGAGTAATGAGACAGGGTTATTTATTCGTCAAATACTTTATTTTCCTGGAAATCGACATTTTACAATTGTAACACAGATTAGTTTTGTCTAAGCTCCTTACTATCTCAACACAAAATCTCATGTTCTGAGCATTAAGAGAATAACCATCACAGAATAAGGCTTTGTTGTCAGTTCTATGACTAAAGTCCCCAAACTAATCAGTGAGGACAGGATCCACAAAGAAAAAACAAATAAAAAGGGGAAGAAAGAAAAGTATATAGAACACAAACAAATTATTTTCATCTATTGTCTCTAGTAGAATCAATAATTAACTAATATGAGTAATTAATCACTATTAAATGTGTTTATATTGAACACATGAATATTTGCAAAGTACTTATAACACTTTCAGGTACTTATAAAGTGTTCTACCTGTATTAAATACATAGTCAGATATGTGAAGCTATCAAGGCAACTGTCACCAAGTAGCAAAACAGTTATCTTATATTTCTGCCCAAAGGACATTAATAATAACTCTATTTTACACACACACGCAAATACTTTCTGATACTTGCTTGTACAATAATCAGTGAATAGGGAGGGTAGTGATACAAGTAATACTGTTGTCTAGAAAATTAGTGAACCATATTCTATGGTACTTGTGAAAATAAAGTCAGTTACTTCCTCAAAGTTGTATTAGTACTTATTTCTAGACATTCTGATTTTTTGAAAAACCTAAATATTAAAAGCAAATATTTTCTAATCTGTACATATTTACTCATAACTTAGTCCTTTCCCTCATCCCTCACCTTTACCTTCTTCCAGGGAGATACCCAAATATCAAAAAGGAATGAATCAGTAATTTCTCCCTCCACTTGAAATTTATGAACACTGACCATATGAGTAAATGTTGTAAGTGAAACTGGAGGGAAGGGGGAGGGAAATCTGCTTGACTATTATTGATATTCTAAAAAACAAATTACATTAGAGGTTACAATCATGCATTATTTCTAAAATTACCTCTCTGATAACCTGACCAGCAGTTTCTACTATAAATCCACTAACTGCCTCTGAAGTAAGCAGGCATGATTTTGGGAACCCTTGGTTAAATCACTACTTTCTAATGAAAATCTTAGCTCTTTCATAATGACCACCTAAATGTAGTTATAATTTTGTCAAGGAACTACTTTCACCAACTAATAAACTAAAAACATCCTGTGATAGGTTTCTAACAAATATGAAATCTGTTAGTTACTTATAAATGTAGATCTTGCTCAATATTTATCTAATGGAAACTAAGGCTAGAAAACAGTCTTTAGATTATAGGACTTGGTAGTTAGCAATTATAATGGTGCATAAGTAAAACTCGCTCAACAGGTTTACTGCTAAATGGTAGCTTGGCTGGGATACACACAAGCAAGAAATAAAAGATATGTCTTCGGAATAAATGTAAGGTACAATGCAACCAGAAAAAAAAAAATCTGGCAAAGTATACAATATTAGCCAACAACAATAAAACCACGATAAATGGACCTCTTTGTTTCTTAGTTATTGGGTTTGTTTTCTATAAAACTGACTTGCCTTAATTTCCTGAAAGATCAATGGTCATGCAATCCAACCACACTTCCTGTTGCAAGCAGAGGACTAAATGGCTTGTAACTTGTTTGTGTACCTACTGAATGCCTGGGTTCCAAGATTTATTCTCCCAAAGTATATTTTTATCTACTTTCTGACTCTCTCTCTCTCTCTCTCTCTCTCTCTCTCTGTGTGTGTGTGTGTGCATGGACCTTTAGCTATACTTGCTCTTAAGGAAAAGAGGGGGCCATAATATGCTGTCCCAAATTCTGAAATTTTCCCCTTCAAAGCATTCAGTAGACAATAACAAAATAAGCCTACAGGCACAAAACTTATTCAGGATTTAAAGAACTGAGAATGACCACTTAAGTAAGTTGCTGAAGCTATCTGCAAAGAAACACTCACTCAAAAAGAAATGATAAACCAACACGGTCAAGCAGTATCTATCCTTAGATGGGATATACTAAGTTACACATGGTATTTCATTTAATGAAAATTTGTAGGTATAATCTGACACAAGATTCAGCAGTGTATTGTCTATATCTGCCAAGCCAGCCAGCAACGACCAGAGAATCTCCCAGAAAGCATGGTTTATTCGCTCACCAGAGATGGGTAGCTCAACAAAAAACAGCATGATATTAGTGGGGAAAAGACATAATGTTTTTTGTTGTAACAGACATGTGTTGCCTCTCTAGTAAGAATAAAGTTTACTCAAACACCTAACTTGCTGTTAAGACAGAATATTAATCATGAATGCTATGTGAGTTTTTTTAAAAAAGAATCTCTATAGTTAAGAAAAGCACAACCTGATGAAAGGTGAAGGTTTTATTTTTTAGAGATAAGTAAAGTTTTTTAAAGGATTAGCTGCTAAAAAACTGTACTTGTCCCACATACAATTAATTGTATTTGAGGCCAAGCACATTAATGACACTATATTTCATGTATTATATGTGGAAGAACTGGTCCTTGAATGTGAAGAATGACAAAATTAATTATAGCATACATAGATAAGCCCCTCTGCACCCACTAAAGGAGATTCATTCTCTTAAACCCCATCTCATTTGTTCCAATAAAATCTAGATCAAGACATGAGGCTCGCCAGTCAAGAATGGGCAGAAGAACTTAAAAGACATTTCTCCAAAGAGGAACTGCAACTGGTCAACAGGCATATGAAAAAATGTTGAACTTCCCTTATAATCAGGGAAATGCAAATCAAAACCACACTGAGATACCACCTTACACCAGTAAGAATAGCACATATCAAAAAAGCAACAACAAATGTTGGTGAGGATGAGGTGAAAAAGGAACTCTCCTACATTGCTGGTGGGAGTGCAAACTGGTCCATCCACTATGAAAAGCTGTCTAGAGGTTCCTCAGTCTACTAAAAATGGAGCGACCACAAGACCTGGCAATTCCACTCATAGGCATCTACCCAAAGGACACAAAAACATTGACTCAAAAGAACACCTGTACCCTTATGTTTATTGCAGCACTATTTACAATAGGTAAAAACTGGGAACAACCCAAATGCCCAAAAATAGATGACTGGATCAAGAAGATGTGGCATAGGGCCTCCCCTGGTGGCACAGGCGGTTGAGCGCCGCGCTGTGAAGCTGTCCGCAGCCTCTGCAGCGCCGGTTCGATCCCGGCCAGCTGGCGAGGGTCCCCACATCTGCCTCTTCTGTTCCCCGCTCTGTTTCAGGTGAATCCTCTCACCCTCCCGCACATCTGGCCTGTACCCCGGTTCTTGTATAAATAAATAAATCTTTAAAAAAAACAAGCTATGGCATATATACACAATGGAATATTATTCAGCAATCAAAAAAGATAAACTCATGCCATTCACAGCAACATGGATGGAACTAGAAGGAATTATGCTTGGTGAAATAAGCCACAAGGAAATAGAAAAATATCAGATGGTTTCACTTACAGCAAGAATACAGGGGAACAAAATAAGACATCAGTGTAAAAAAATAATAACAGTACAAAACACAACAAAGCAAAAACAGACAATTATAAATCAGAGACATCTTGCAGGGGAGGAGAAGGGAGAGGGATTGGAGGGCGGTGGGAGGAGCACAGGAGACTGTGGTGATGGTGCATGGGTGCACGGGTAAAGGAAACTCTATAGGGAATACACCTGGGGGGGTGGGAGAATGCAAATATTGTTTAAAAATGAAAAGTGATGTAAAAAACAAAAAATATATAAAAAATAAATTAATTAAAAATGGAGAGACTTAACATTAAAAAAAAAAAAGACATGAGGCCCAAATGAAATGGCCCCTCCTATCTAACAGTATGCTTTTTCACTTTAATATACCTGGAACTTGGCAAGAACCTAAAAATCTGGCTGAATGAATAGCACCCTCTCTCCTAAGTAATAGTACAACACAGCTGTGTCCACTTATGACCAGAACTTCACAGGGATGGCCTTTACTCAACCCTGTTGGCTGGCTCTGACAATCCCTTCATGCTCTGAAAAAAAAAAAAACCTCAGAGGGGCAACCAAGGTCATGAAGCCAGTACCTGCTGGAGGCAAGATGCAAAAGACATTCCATCCGATAGGAACCCCTCACTCTGGCAAAGGCAGACACCATGAGTAGAGGAAAACCTAAGTGATGGAATCAAAATTCCAGACTCCACTGAAAGGCTGATTTAAAATAAAATGGTAAAAAATAAAAATAAACAGTAATTTAAAAATAATTACTAAGAAAATAAAACAGTAACTATGCTGTTGGAATAAAGTGAATATATTATTGTTTCCTCTGGAAAACAAATGAACTTTAAACCTTATATACTTTTGAAACTGGTCAAATTTTATTTTCAAACTCCAAGGCAAAGCAGCTATTTGAAAGAATATGGCACCATATGGCCTACCTTGGCCCTGTTCAAAAGCAGCCAAATACTTAGTATAACTCTTTGAACTACCATGTAGGTTAAACCACATTTTACATTATTAGTAAGGTAAACTTTTCACTTAAAGATTGCAAACAATCCTCAAATCCCTTCATACAAAGGCAATCTTCATGCAGCTGTTCTGTGAGGCTTATAAAGAGACGTGCAGGTTCCGGCAGGCACACTTTAGTGACTCCGGTCTGACTGTTACTGTGTAAAAACACACAACACAAACCTTTTTTCCTTTTCTGCTCCTCAATATGGGGCTAACCCAAAGCTTTCACTACCACTACTCCCTAACATTCCAATTCCAAACCCACAATCTATTTAAATAAGCTGACTTCTTGGATTAACATTTCCTATGACCAGGTCATACATTTCATTTGGGGGAAGAAAAAACTGAAGGCATGCTCCCAGGAGTTGTTTGCAATTAATAAATCACAACCCTG